ACAATAGTTCATTGTTAATTGATGCATCATTAAACTGATCATCAATTTCATTATTCTGTGATAATTTTAGAATAAAATGTAATCCATATATTTAATTGGATTTTATAAGTTAATTTTTTTTACCTAAAATTGAATCTTAGAAAATTTGATGCCTGTCTGTTTTCTTGGAATTAGATTATCTTCAATCTCTCTCTCTCTCTCTCTCTCTCTCTCTCATATGAGTTGGGATCAAATATGGATCAGAATAAAATAAAATTAAGAAACGTTTATCAATCAACTCTATCTTATCATATATTCATCTTATATATTTCTTTATTTTATATATATGATGAAGAATGCTGAAATTTTTCAGACCAACCCACTTTCAAAAATCTTGCCAAATGATTATCAGATTCTTTTTTGGTTAAGAACTTCATGATTGAGCTGAGAATTTTTTTTTTTGTTCCTTCATGTATATATCTAGTTCTGTATTTCTCTCTCTTACATATATGTATGTATATTTTGTTTAAAATTTACTGTAGGTGAAAAGTACTCAATATCGGAGATAATGCATTTATAGGTATAAACAGTGTGAGTATGGGTATCAACACTTGGTCTGAAGAGCCCCTGCAGTGTTTATTGTTTTGCCTATGTTCTGTATATATATATATATATATATATATATATATATATTTATATATATATATATAGGGAGAGATTTGCTTATATCACATGACTCACTCATTTTTGTCCTCAGATTATGATTTAAAACCAAATGATTTAACTGATGTGGATAATCTTCCCCTCACCATACACAGAATTGTGGAAACTTTTAAATTTGCTTTTGCTGAAAGATCAAGCCTTGGAGATGAAGATTTCTGGAATGTAACAGAAGTGAGTAAAATAATTACATTTTTTTATTTTATAAAAGTTGATTGTAAGTTTAAATATTTAAATTATTTTATGTTGCATTGTAAAAAGAAATAAAGTTTTATTTGTTAAAAAATTGAAACACTGGAAATAATGGCAAAAATAATTTAAAATTTAATGCAAAGTTTTTGGTCTAGTGTTTTGGTTTTATATCAAAACTATTGAATTAAATCATAAGTAAAGAAGAAACAATCTTAAAACATTTGTATTACAAATTCATAACAACATAAACAATGCTGCTAAACTGCTCATTATTATTATTATTGATTCTATTAAAAAGCTCTTGATGATAGTTTCAATGTGTCAATGTGATAGTCTTAGGGAAAAGGCAGATGTGGAAGGACAAATAGAACTGTCAGTATTATCAATATTATCTCTACTTTACAAGCTCTGTTCACAAATGATCCTACCATTTAATATTAATGAAAAATAAGTAGTCAAGCTTAGGCAATTAGACCTTTCAAAATACTATCCTTGTAACTTCACACTCATCCCAGCATATCCTTAACTACCAAGTCATTTTTCTTGATTGCAATCATCTTAATGTAACCCACAGTCTGAAATGGTTTCCTTTTCAAAGGTGATAACCAGAAGTTAAAAGGAAGCAAATCTGAACTAGTACTGACAAATTTGGGTGATGCAATGTTTTGTCAAAACTTCTACATAATACTTTGCTGATTTACTTGCTTGACTATTGTGAATACAACAGTCACAGAGTCAACAAGCTCACTCAATGGTATCTCACTGCCAACTGAATAACCTCATTGGAGAATACCTGTTCACAATCAATCTCTCTCACACTCACACACAAAGATTCCCTTTGATTGGTTGCCAAGGCCATATAACTAATTTTTGAAATATTCATAATATTCACACATTTTCCTCTAATGAACCTCATATATAACCTTACTCATAATAGATTTGTTTTGAGTATGAGTTCATGGCAGAAGTATATACAAAGAACATTACTACCTGTTAACTTTATAAAGTTTAGCAGGTAATTGGTAACTTAACCATGATGATCACATGATATTAGTTTTTCATGATTATTGGTTGAACATGAAAATGCTTAAAAATAATTATGTTGTCACATATGTAAAGCAAACAGCAAGAACATGATGGATGAAATATATCTTTTACAGATTGTAACAAAATTGACATCCTTTAACTATGCTAAAAGTATCAAACACAAGATCAATGATAAGAAAACCTATGGCATTCAGTATTATCATCCGCACTTTGCAAATACAGAAGACCATGGCACTGCCCATATGAATGTCCTTGGACCAGATGGCTCAGCAGTTTCAATTACTTCAACATTGAATCACGCGTAAGTCATATTTAACTGATAGTAAAAGAAGTTTAAATCCAGTTCTTTAGTCCCTCAGACAAATAACATTTTGAATATTAAAAAGCCTTAATGAAAATTTTCAAATTTCAAGAAATGTAACAAGTAATATAATTGTGTTTTACAAGATTAAAAAATTATGCCATTTAGAAAAGAACGTTATTTTCATTTGTACTCTGTGGACTAAAAATCAAACTATAATTGTTTCAAAATATCTGCATTGTATAGTGAAAGGAAATTCATGTATTTAATCTAGCAAAAATGTCAATAAAATGTGAGAATAGCATAAGTGGTACATGAGGAAATACTGATTATATTTTTTTCCAAAGAAAATTTATTGGAACTGTCCATTTAAACAAGAGATGCGTAAAAAATGGAATGACAGGATGTTTTCTGGTGTTCCCAGTTTTACTGCTGGTGGCAACAGGAAAAAAACAGAGTTGGAACTTATTTAAAATGGATTCAGGAATCTTGGGATTCCATCAGTGAGGATGTTATAATGAGATGTTTCAAGAAGTGTTGTCTTGCAGCAGCCATGGGTGGCTCTGAAGATGACATCCTTTGGCAAGAGAATGAAGAGGCCGAAGATAATTTTGAACAGGATGAAGATAATATTGTGAATGATAATTTGTTTAATGATAATTTAGATATTCATTCTATAATAGAAAGTGGTGGTGATGATGATGATGAAAATTAAAATTTCAATAAATTGCTAACTTGATATCCTCTTTTCTTCGAAATTTGCCTTTTTATAGATTTTTTTTATTTTTTCGCAAAATAAAAAATTTGGTTATTGATAAACATAAATTTATTGACAAAAAATGTTACAATTATTATTGTTGGATTTAAAATGAAAATTGGGATAATATCTTTCTTATTTAAGAACAACAAGTACGTATTTATTATTATAAATTAATAACGAAAAAAATATTTTTGTTTAAACCTATTTATAATATGCACCCCTACTATCACCTGTAATTTACAGTAAAAAAAAAAAAAGCGTATTTTGAGAAATTATGGTATTTGCATGTGGGAAAGAGAGCAAGAGGCAATAATTTCTAATACAAAAAATATTCAGCAATATTTAAACTTTGTGCCCACAAAAAAATGAGACTGCTATTACTGTATACACTTTTGACTCCCTTGACAATGTTTATTTACAAGATTATAAATATATTTGAACCAAATAAAATGCGATATTTATTTTTTTGTGGGCATGAAGAGTAATTTTAAGAAAACAAAGTGAACTTGTAAAAATCAAATATTATTTGGATATTACTGTCATATTAACCTCGATGACATTAACATTAGAAGGCAGCTAGATTTGGTCACAGGCAAGAAATGGAGCAAGAGATGAGAAATGGGAGGATTTGGGAAAGTGTTGCGGTTCTACAGTTATTGATAAATCTGTCTTTGCAAATCTGGACAGAAACACTTAATGCTGGAGTTAAGATCTAACTTGATAATTTTAAATTCAAAGAAGGGCATATTTCTTGTCTAGCTTTATAGAAAAATGTATGCTTTTATGTTGTTTGATTTTGTTTTTTATCTTTTTACTGGGGAAGAATTACATGTTAAAATGAGGCATCAAATTATTCAGAAGAAACAAAGTATATGTTTTGAAAATTGAAAATGCACAATTTCCATATTTCATGTGATAAAAGGTCTTCAAGTATATTTCAGGCACATTGTCAAATATCAGAAGAAGTAGTTAACAAAAGGAGGATCATTTGAAAAGTCTTGCTCATAACTTACAAAGAAAGAAAATTTTAAGAAATCATTAAATTGACTCTTTGTTTATAATTACATTATTATCATCCACAAAGGAAACATTTCATTTGACTTAAAAACTTCAGAATCTCATAACAGCAAACCTTTTCTCTTTCAGATTTGGTTCCAAAATCTGTGGTAGAAAAACTGATATTTGCTTCAACAATGAAATGGATGACTTCTCCTCACCTCATGCAGTCAATTATTTTGGACTTCCTCCATCAGAAGCCAATTTTATTAAGCATGGAAAACGACCTATGTCTTCAATGTCTCCTATTATTATAGTCAACCAAAAAGGGGAAGTTTTGGCAGTTTTGGGTGGCTCTGGGGGCACTAAAATCACCACTGCTGTGGCATATGTGAGTTTTGTTCTTATACATACTTCCTATAAAATTTAAGACAAAGGGATATGATGTTGAGAATTATATTCCAAAATAACAACCAATTCAAATCTTGATTTATACGTAACAACCTTTAAGAGAAACTCTAAAATTTGGCATCTTGTCATGACATTCTTGTTTGCAGGTATCAAATGATATGGAATTGTTATCAGTTTTCATGCTGCAATTGTCTCTGTCTTATTTTTTTACTACACAAATATTATCTGTGAGTATAGATAGTTAATAAAATGGAATTCAAACTTAGAGCATAACATAAAGATATTTTTAAAGATAATTCCTTAGTACAACCAGTTAAAACCTTCTCAGCTAGGACCCATCATACTGCAGACACAGTCAATTCATCCTCATTCCCTTTGTATTCCATTGGTAAAGATGAAGTTCTACACAGCTTGTTTTCAGGAAACTTTATTTTATGGAACTAACTCCTGAGAGGATGCTTTCCCAATCACTACAAATTTAAAGTTTAGGGTCAACTGTTATCTATCCTACATATACATAACATGCCCTTCTTACTTCATTCAGCAACTTTCTACCTTGAGTGGCTCTTAGGCCTTGTATTAAGTGAACAACAGTATATAAAAAAAGATTAGTACAAAAATAAATGTTTTGCTTCTAAAGTTCTCATGTTCCCTGAATTTTCTTTCATCAACAAAGAATATATTTGTCAAGTTTGCTTGGAATTAATAGAAAAATCCAGGTGTATATCTATTTTTATTGAATATTTAGAGTTTGTTATCTTAGATTTATTTAAGTATATAAGCCTATCAATGGTATTATGTATGTGACACAAAGGGACATAACCATCATTAAAAACACACAGTTGGGTCCTAAATGATTTCATTTAAGTCTGAAGTTGCTGGTGTTTTATAAATAAATAGATAAATAAAAACTTTTGGTAACAAGTGCAATTTGGTCATAAGTTAGAAAGTAACATTCACAGGCTTATATTGTAGCGGAACCCGAGCGCCCCCGTATCACAAAAGGGTGACGAGGTCACAGGAGGCCCACTAGCATTTTCGAAGACGTTAAATCTGACGGTGAAAAAACATAGACGACAGAACGAGGATATATATGATATATGCTAATTTATTCTAGAAAAAGAAAATAAGGTGGTCGGGACGATAGAGGTGCAGAAGTTCTAGTGCAGGCATTGATGGTCGAGGTTGGTCGTTACAGGTGATCGCTGTTGGACATGCAGGTGGTCGCTGCAGAGATGATCGCTGTAGTTGAAGTTGATGTTGGTCATTGCCGCATTACAGATGATCGTTGCTGGTCATGCAGGTGGTTGCTGCTGGCCGTTGCAGGTGATCGCTGTAGTAGAAGTTGATGTTGGTCGTTGCCGGGATGATCGCTGTTGGTTGTTGAAGTTGATCGTTGCCGGGATGCCAACTTGACATGTTGGGAAGGAGAGAAGAGCTGGCGTTGTTCGGGCATGTCACAGGTCCAGTGCAGGTGTTGCGTGTTGCCGGTTGAGTCTGATATTAGTAACCTCCCATAATAATTACTAACATAGTGTACGGGAAAGGTTATGGACGACGTGCAGGCAGCCAGTAGGGACAGAATGCCGAGAGTCGAACGGGGCCAAGGAGCCAGGAGTAGTAGGCGAAGGAGAGAGAGGAAAGTTTCCAACTATCGCCAAGTTGGCAGACAAAAAAAATATGGGAGCGTAACTTAATACGCAGCCCGTTGATCAACGTTCCTGGCCGCGAAGGCCAGGGGCCTGCGTATCCGCCCGTTTCAGTCGCCGACCGGGATTTATTTTGTAAAAATACAAAATTGTGGCACAAGGCCGAAAAGGGGGAGGGGATAGAAGGCTGGTCTTCACTAACTATCTTATACCTAGCTAATTTGATTCACAACCCATTCAGACATTACAATTTACTCATTCACCATAAGAACTCGTCCGTCACCAATCAATCCTCCATGCACCATAATACCACATCCACTCTAGGGAGACCTACAAAACGCGCCCCGTGTCATAGTAATTTAATGATCCTCAAATTTAGTGAGAAGTCACTGTCTTGTGGTAAGGGAGACCAGCAAGAGAATTGGATAAGCTAACAGTAAAGTCTCTATAAAAAAATAAGTCGAGATTAGCTAAAGGAAACTAAGGCCTAAAAATGTCTAGCAGAATATTACAACTAGGTTTGTAATATAACTTAACTAAAAAGGGAACTTGCTAGTCTCTACCACAGGTTTACAGCGTATAGGGAGCACAAACGAGTGTTCTTTTAGTTTAAGGAGCGAAGGAGGAGGTAACTCCGACAATATAAACAGTCATGGTTAGAATTGAAGGTACTTTAATTATAAGAAAAACAATATTCAATTTATCTAGGATGTTATAATCATGTGTACATTGAAGAAAATTGTATTACTGTAATTTCATTAATGGTTGCAGTGTTGTTTGTTATTCAAGGTTGCTGCACCTGCTATATATGCTGATTTCTTTATAAATGGTCTTAACAGAATTATTTTCTTTTGTAGGTTGCAGTAAATTTATTATGGCTAGGTAATAATGCCAAACAAGCAGTTGATGCTTTGCGAATTCATGATCAATTGTTTCCTCCGAGAACTTTAATTGAACCTCCCTTTCCTCAGGTACAGCAATTTGGTTTCATATATTTCACACTTTTTCAGGCAACAAAGTATTTACAAATTTGCTATGAAGAATGCAGGTTTTGTTTATTGATCTATTTTGAAGTCTCAATGAGACAAATTGGTTTCACTTTAAATCTTCATCATAAAATCTAGTGCATTTTTGAGAGGTAATATTAATTTCTATCTATTGAAATTAATATAGATTCTTTTTCTTATTGAGATAAATTTTAAATTTTTTCTAAGGCTCCATATTACTCAATTTTCAATTTCCAAGGTTTGTGGTGCAAACCCCAGAATTTTGTGTTTTCAAGTTATGTGCTGATTTTGCTCCCTCTTTCATTTGCAATACAGCAGGATTAATCTATTCACAAAAATAATTCTGCCTTCACTAACATCCTTACCATTTACCACAACAATATATCTGATCTACTTAGCTGCAAGCTGTTAACCATTTTCGATACTCTATTTGCAGATGAGAAGAAGAAAAAACAAAAATATATTTACAAACTAAAGCAAAGATGTGGACAGGGAAAGTCTTATGTAAAACTAGATATGCTATTTTTCATGTGCCTCTGTTTCTCCTACTTTCTTTGTCAGAAACAAATAACTTAGAAGAAAATAAATAGGAATGTCGGCCATTTTTTAAAAATTGTTTCCTCAAGGAAGAAAATAAAATAATAATTAAAAGAAAAAGATAGTTGTAAACATAAAGCAAAGACTGTAAAAGGTGAAATATTACTTAGTTTAATAAAAGACAAGAAGTTGTAGAGAGTTATGATCGCCCACGTCCTGAAGGGACATGGCACATAAAAGAAAATCCATTCACCTATCTTAAAATATTTTACATTTAAAAAAAATATAATTTTGCTTTTATCTAGTTCACTGTGACTATTATTTTCTTGTATTTGTTGATATAAATGTGTAAATAATATAGATGTAAACTATTAAATGATTTATTGAAGAATATCTTCCTTTATTTTTCTCCAGAATGTGGTTGACGAACTGAAGTTGATGGGACACAATTTAACTGAATATGGCTTTAGATCAAAAGTCCATTGTATACACCGCAAAGACAACTTTGTATATGCTAATGTTGATTTTAGACGAGGTGGAGATCCTGCAGGTTTTTAAACTCTAGTTAAATAGTTTTTGTAGGATATATTTTCAATGCTCTATCAATATTATTCATTAGTTTCTTGAAACAGATGTTATCATTTTTGTAGCTTTCAGTGTAACTATGCTTTCAAATATTTTACAATGGTAGGAATAAGATGTGAATCCCTCTTTATTTTTAATATTCTTTAAAAAATTCAATATGTAAATTTTTTAGTTATTGTAGTAATTCTAGTCTGTGCAAAGATGAAAAGACTTTAGAGCAGTAGATTTTTATTTTCATTAACATAAATATAACATTTTGCTTAGCACTTAACCAACTAAAATTTTATTTGTACGGATACTTATTAAGAAATTTTGACAATTTTTATTCATTTGTGTTCATTCTTCCAACAAATATTATGTGATTATAAACTTTATACATAATATATAAATATATACATCACTCAATTGGAGAAAACAACTATCAAATTTAGCATTTTTAAGAGCAAATCCGAACAGATTCCAATCATTATTCAGAAACACAAAAAGAATCTATTCATGAAAAGGAAAAAAATGATTATTTCTGTTTTCATTACATTAAAAATCAGCAAAAGACTTCTTATCAGTCATTAAAATTTGAGGTAGTTTGTGATAAAGTTATAACAATTCATATGGTAAAATATTCTATGGAAGGCTTGCTATGTAGACAGTGGAGAAATCTTTCAACTCTCCACGTATAAAATATATATACTGATGAAAAATCTTTAATACTTATGAAACTTAAATATCAGATTAACTCAGTTGAATCAGTTTTAACATTGCAGATTTCTAATATATCATAAGTTTTTAATGCTAAATATAAACAAATTTCTATTTCATGTAAAGTATATGCTATTTGTGTGGAAATATATATTATAGTATCTGAAATTTATGCAGTATACACAAATTTAATTTTATATCGATACAATAGGAATATTTCTAACAATGAATACTTGTATGTTTATAGCTGCTTCTCTTTAAATCTTGTACTGATTTCATATAAACTTAATGCATTATTTATACATTTTCCATTGTTGCCATTGTTACTTGAAAAATAATGAAATATGGCAGCATTATGCATTGAACTATAAAACATTTGTTTTTATCATTTGTTTCATTTCAATGTTCATCTTTCTTTAAGGAGTTTAACATGTAAATATTGTACTATTTTTATTTTTTAAATTCAAATTGTTGCTCAAGAAATTCTGACAGCTGGTATTGAATTTCTTTTTCAAAATCAAGCTATGCAAAGGAATTAGTTATTTTTGCCTTCCATTAGCCAAAATAAGGTTATAATTGGAAAATAGCCATGAAGAACTTTCTGAATGAACTTTATATATGGAGGTTGGTAATCAAACTATGCAGTTAGTTGAAAATTTAAGTGTGAACACATCAAGAAAACACTTATAAATCTGTTAATAAAGAATTTAACAGAATTTACTTAACCAAACAAGGAATATGAAATATATTAAAATGTGTTGCTGGGAAAGAGTAAAATTCAATCAGCTGATAAAAAATCTTTGTCAAAATACATATATATTTACATAGGTACGACCACAGAAAACATGATATCTAAGATACTTTGCTGTAATTCAAAAACTAATTTAAATTGACTTTTGGAAAAAAAAAATTTTTTTTGCTAAAATAACTGATTAGCACCCATATAATTCTCTTTATTAAGAAATCTTCCAAAAATAAAATATACCTTTCTGAAACATTGAGTAATATTAACTGATTTAAAGTATAATTAACCAAATTTGAAACCACTATTTACTTTAAGTTTAAAATATCGCAGAAATGCATTTTTTAACACAGCAGTAGCTGTTTATTTAAGTTGTTGACTTGTTTGACAGATTAATGTTTATCAAATGTTGTTTTATCTGGGTTTAGCCATAAAAAATAATTGTGTATAATGTGAATGCCTTTTATGTATAATTTTTAAGTACTCAGTAATTTAAAAAATTTAAGAAAATGTTCTCCATATTCTAATGTTTTATTGAATTTTAGATACTTTCTGGCTTTAAATTAACTGTAGTATCACTCTTATTTTCTGATAATGTTGTGCATGGGCACCCATATTTACAAAAATTGGCATGTTTATATACATGCAACAAAATTCAAAATTCTTTTAAAAATATTGGTGTTTGATTATTTGTACTAAGCTTTTCCAATTATGATGAGGTATAGGTACCTTCATGAGAATGCTAAAAAAAGAGCATAGCATGATGAAAAAGGTGCCAAACTTGACAAAAAACAAAACTTTATCATCTAAATGTTTATGTTATTATTAAGAGGAAAGATCAAAGTATTTTTGGGGTATTTTTTTACATTTTCTAATCATTCCTAGCATCTCCAAAATTTTCATTAAAAATCTTTTTTTTTAGTCAAAAAAATTGACAGGTAATCAATCATGTCAACCATTTTTTTCCATTTTATAAAAAAATGGAAATCTCAGTTTGAAATTCTTTTAAAAATCAATTATCATTTTTTCAAAACTTATTTTAAGAAAGTTAAAAATTATAATGTTTATTTAAAATATTTTGAGACAAGCTTAACTTAGTTTCTGCGCCAAAAAGATGTAATTTGAAAATAAAACAAAGCAGGTCATAACATTTCGCGTCATTTGACAGGTGACAAGACATTTTTATGATGTATTGATAGCTTACATAAGGATAATTTATTCTACGGAAGGAGAGAAGTGAAATTATTTAGATTTAAGTGAACAAATTATTTACCTCATTATTTTTAAGGAAAACTTTCAGCACTCTAATTTTTTTTTGTACTTAGCTTTCACCTTTATGTTTACAATGCTTTATGGAAAATATATTATAAAGAAATTAAAATAAGACTGTTGAGAGTGAGATTTCATAAAATTGAAATAAGACGACTCACTGAAAACTGTAAAACAACTTCACAAAATTGAAATTGCAAGGAAATATGTAAATGAAATAAATGGTACTTTTAAAAATGTAGTAATGTTGCTGGTGAAAATGGCTTAGGATGATGTTCAATTTTTTTAATTAGTAAAAACGCTAATTCAAAATACTCAACATGTGTTTCGCACAAAGAATTTGCAACAATAAAATGGACGTTCAGCAGAGTAATGCTTACATTCAAACCACGTGATATTTTATTGCTTGTGACCTTCGTACTTTTAAATTACAGCAATTTTGACGACTTTTATGAACACAAAATTACATTTCTTAATTAGTGTGGGTCTTCTGATTGGACGAAGTGATACAATTTACAAAGTTCTAAAAAGTAATCTATCTCATAAGGACATTTACAAAAGTGAATGTGGCTTTCAACTAATTTTATAATATTTTAACAACTTAAATGAAAAAATCTAAAATAATTAAAGAAATAACAATTAATTGTATTAAAAATTCATTTTTCATCGAAAAAATTTTTTGCTTTCAGAAAATATTGTCCATATTCATAAAAACAACTAAAAGCATTTGAAATTAAATAATATTTTCGTTTTGTTGAGTTTTGTATGTTACAATTCAGAGCTGATTTTCAGGTTGGGGTGGGGGTCCAATTAAAAACAAAAAGACATGATTTGCATTGCTCAAAGCCTTTTGCTTTTAATTATTGTAATTACTAAAGTGGACTTGATCGAATTTCTAGAGTTTTCATAAAATTAGTTATGGGGGAGGGAATAAATATTAAAAAAATATTTCTGCCATAATTTTAATAAAAATAACATATTTATAATAATTTCGGTCATCTGTGAATAGTTTCTGAAAGTTTCATTAACATCCGACAATTATTTTTTATTTTTGCAAGATTTTCCAAATTAATGTGTGTCATACAAAAAAAAAAGTGCTAAAAATTGTATGTTATTTTACTAGTTCCGGTGATACAAAGAGAAACAAGGTTTTTTCAATCAAAATTTAGAATGTTTTAAAAAGAAGGAATAATTTTTAAAAATAATTAAAAAACTTTTAAAACATTTAGACAATAAAATTTTGTTTTCGTCAAGTTTGGCATCTTTTTCATCATGCTGTGCTCTTTTTTTAGCAATTTCATGAAGGTACCTAAGTAAATATAGTTTTACTTAATATAATCTAAAAAGATGAAATCAGTACAGAATTTTAAAAGATTTAAAACTTAATGAATTATTTTAATTAAAATTTTTAAAAGAGGAAAACAGTTCTTGTAAAAATTCATTCTTCATTGAAAAAAATTTTTTCTTTGTTTTTAATATTTATAAAAACAATTAAAAGCTTTTCTAATTAAATAATCTCAAAGTTTTATTTATTTTTATATTTTTATTTTTTATTTTATGATTCAGAGCAGATTTTTGGTAAATATTCTTTCTCTTTTACAAAAACAAATTTTAATCCTCTTTTAACATGAATGGGGTGAAATTTTAATTTCTCAAAATTTCATTAGATTAAGTAAGTGGTGGTAACAGATGTACAAAAAAAAAAGAATTTTTACTGAGATTCTCTAAAAAAAAAAAAAAATTAAAATAATTTAATTCATTTGTGAATAAGTCCTGATAATTTCATTAAAATCCAACAATTATTTGATTTTTGCAAGAATTTCAGACAATGTTTTTTACTGCAAAAAGATGCTAAATTTCCTATGCTAATCTCTCCCCAACTCTCGCTGATGTAAGAAAAACAAAATTTTTATACAGAATTTTGAACATGCTAGAAAGGATTCAAAATTTAATAAAATAATCAAAAAATACTTTGGTCTTTCCTCTTAAAAAAGAAAAAATCTTTTCACGATAAAACTTTGTTTTTATCAAGTTTGGAGTCTATTTTTTATCATGGTATGCTCTTTTTCCAGCGAATTAATGGAAGTACTTACATTTACATATTTGATTGCAAAATTTAAAACTTTTAATTCCAGGAATATTGTTTTCAGATTAATAAAAAGTCCTTATTTTCATTGTTAGCATCTTAAAAACAAACAAAATAATTTAGATTGTGAAAATTAAATTTTACAATATAAAAATATATGTAAACTAGTAAAAAATAATTAAAAAATCTATACCTATGATTCTCATCAATTCTTCACACGTATATTTTAACTACAATATTTTCTAAGACAAAGGAATTTCTATCCTCAAAATTGATATTTATTCCTTTGCTTATAAAATTGGAAATATATAATTATTAAAATGGTTTTGTGTAATTTTTGAAGTCATCATAAGAAAATAAGTAAAAAAATACTGAATTTATCATTTTGTGCCTTCACAGCATAAAGTTTAGGATTTGCTTTTGAAAAAGTCAATATCTAACTTGCTGATGTTTTTAAAAAGATTGTTATGAAAATACCTTTTCCTTTTAAACACAAAATATTTAAGATGCATTTTATATAATATTCTGTTTGTAAATATTAGCATGCATTTATATCTAGATGTATATTCACAATTTGGCATTATTTTTAACAGAAAAACATTTTTTTTTCAAACACATATGCATTTGTTGCAAAAGTGATAGTGATTTTCAATGTGATCCTTATAAATTTGATTGGAAAAAGTTTTCAAATACCTTTAATCCAATTGATTAAATTACACAGTGTTCACATTTTATTCCTTGTTGACATTAACAAAAACAAAATGAATGGAAAGAAAACTGATTTCAAAATGCATCTTGATCTAGTAAGAAATGTATTTACATTTGTGAATAAATAAAAAAAAATCAACCAAACCTTTAGATATGTATGTATGTATGTATGTATGTGTATATATATATTACATGCATATACCAATTTGTATCTATTAGTTAAACTTTTATCAGTCCTCTCCTCCCATTGTATTTATCTAGGATTTAATCTCAACAAAGTCTTTTTTTTATCAATCACTTTCCTATTTTTAAAAATTCTTTTTCATAGAATATGAATTGCCTTATTACCATCAAAAAGTTCTAAAATTTATTTTGTACACAAGCAGGTACAATGATTTTGATTTGGCCTATAAATCATTCTTATTCCTGTTGCTTCAAAAAAAAACTATACCTTAAATAACAAGTAACCTTCTTTTGTGCAGACATTTCAATCTTTTGGCAATTCTGAAAATTATCTAGTGGTTTCTATATTAAAAGAAACTTTAAACAAAAACATTAACACTGACAGTTGGTAAGAAAACCCTTACAAGATACTTATGATATTGGCTAATAATTTCTTGCATATGACAGAAAAATTTGAACCTTGTATGAATGGGTGTTCAGCTAGCTCACCAATTTCATATTATATTCCACTAAAATCATTTTAAAGTTTTTTATTTCTCATAATTTTTAATTACAAATTAACTAAATGACAATCATAATGACTGATTACTTATAATTTGAGCTGCTATTTTGTATATAAGTATTGTATATGTACCTCAGAAAGAAATGGCAACATACTGCAGGAAAAAAATCTGCCTCGTCAGTCATGTATCAAAAGATACATGATTGCCTATCACACATGTCACATAACTGACTGATTGTAATATGAAGAAGTTTTAGGGTTAATAAAGGCTTAATGCCTTTATTAACTGCTTTTGCATTTATCTTAAAGATTTATTGGAACCAGTAGGAACATTTCTAAGTATGGCAGGAACTTTAATTTTGGAAGCAATTAATACATTTTTTAAAGCATAGTTTATTTTATTCATATTTAAAATAAATTTCAAGTATTAGATTTTAAACAGCATGAAGAAAAAATAAATTTTACTAAAACGGTTTAGAGGGAAAGTAAAAAAAAAAAATTAAAAAAAAAATTTTTTTTTGTTTTTTTTAAAGAAAAATCCATTTTATGGTAGAGATTTTAAAAATATTTCAATATTTTGGATTCAAAAATTTCTAAAACATTATCATGATTGTTTTTCTCTATTTTGACGTCTGAAGTTCCAGTAAAAATCAAAAAAAAAAAACTTTTGCTTCTGATGAGTGATCACTCTTGCAAAGTATTTATTTGATAAATCATCTATTATGATTGGGGATTAATAAATTCTTTTCTAAATGAAATAATATAAACTCAACTAATCATTTTTATATTTGCAAAGATCTTCATCACTAAAAATCAATTTTGAAGGTGGGTAGAGAAAATTAGAAGTTACTATCTGAAGAAAGGAGTTTCATTAACCAATCAGACAAAAAAATAAAAAATGTCATTCACATTGAATTATTAGTTGTGATCGATTGGAAAAAATTTCCTCAACTGCAACAATGGAAATTCCTGTCATCTATAATTAATGAGTTTATATAGAACAGCAAAAAATGATTTTGTCTACATGTTCTATAAAATGTGATTATATTTTTGTTTTAAAATTATAGCAAATATCTTATATAACTAATATCTTTAATGGTTGATTTCTTTGTGTAACTGAAATTGTAAGGAAATATTTTTACATGTATTTCTGAATACTAAATTAGAATTTTAAGATCTATAGATATGTTCTCTGCAGTTTAAAATGGATATTACTTTTACATGGATTTAAAAAAACAAAAAAAAAAACAGGATTTTACTATCTGTCTATATTTCTGAAATGAGGTATTGTAATTATTTACACTATTTACATTGTTTGGACTGTTGTCCTCATCCTTGTTGCCATATTCACGTTTCTGCCCTCTTAAGGAAAGACTGCAAGAAAATTGTAAAGCCATAACAAGAGGGGAAAGAGAGTCAGTTGTAGGGAAAAGGGAGATCACCACCTTGTGGGACGAGGTTGAAATAATAGAGAACATCACTGGAAAATATGAAAACTTAAGGAATCAGCATATATGCTAGGCCACAAATATATACAATATGGGAAACAGTAATATGGAATGATGGAGAAAAGCAGTAATATAGTCCAGTGGATAAAAGCATTGGCTGGATCCAGTGACTTGGCCCAAGTTGTGAGTTCACTGACTACTACAGTGGTGAACAAAAACTTGGAGAGTTGAGTTAAAAGGGAGATAACAGACATCCGGAAGAGGCATGGCATGTGGAACTAGAACAGTTTACCCTGGTTTATGAAATAAAGGGTTCAGTTCAAAATTCTAATTACCTGAAGAAGGCCAGAGTCTACAACAACTAAAATGTTGTAAATATGGCAACAGTGATAAGGACAACAGTCCAAACAGGATTTTACTAATTGTCATTTATTTTTTTTTTTTTTTTTTGAAGTCATGTAATAAAAAGTATAGATATTTACAGGTTTATTTTTTCTTTTAAATGCAAATTTTTCAATTAATTTCAATTTTTAAAAACTTTCAAGTAATAAAATTTCCAGTTTTCTAATGTCTTATTTTATCTGAAAAATCCTGAATTCACTTAAAATCAAAAGATTGAGTCAGTTGAGATATATATATATATATATATATATATATTGTAGTATATATTTTAAAATCAATGTTGATAATTCTTGGGTATCATTAATTGGTGTGATAGTTTCATTCAAGAGGTATACTGAAAAGTTCTTGGCTTGACCAAAAAGCTATTTTAACCCTTCGAGCCCTGCATTCCTGAACAATTTTAACCCTTCTGCCTGAGCTCTTGAATCAAAATTTGCAAATAATTGCTATGTAATGTTTCACGGTAGATATAAAAAGTTACAAGTATTTATCCATCGTTCAACTGGTGGCTGGGCATTAAGTCATTTTTCTCTAAAGCGGTGGTCAGGGCTCAAAGGGTTAAGGAAAAAGTGGATTAGGTAAGAACTTTTTAATATTCCTGCATAGAATTTAAATAATGCAAGTCATTCATGCAAAGTCATAATTTTTTATTATTGTTACAATGAAACTTGGGCACCTCGGCATGGTGTAATGGTTGGAAAGCTTGTCTTGCTAGATCAACTATCGGCCTTGTGCCACATCTAAGCTGGGCTTAGAAAATCACTAGTTACAATGAAACTATGTTTAAATTTCTTTTTAATAAACAAGCTTAAACTTGCTTTAAGGTGAAATTAATACAATGTGAACTCAGTCTAAGAACCCAATAGTGCTACTAATGCAGAGTATATAGAATTCAAGCTGAAGAAAAACAAGACCATGTAAATGTATCATTTTTTTTATCATTTGAAAAGAATATTTGTATACAAAAGAAAAAAAACATTGGAATTTATTTTAACTTGGTTCTGGTGCTTTTTCCAAACTATTTTGTGACTGTAGCCTGGATTTGCGATGTAACCTGGGAGACGGTGCAGTATTCTGGAATAGAAAAACAAATAAAAAAAGAATGAAAGCTGGAGAACATCAATTTACTCAAAATTGTTAGCCATGATAATTGTTCTTATACTGTTATCTCCTCTGACAAAAATGAAAACTGGTACTAAAAGTATATTTATTTTTTAAAAGCATGATCAAGTTGAAACCATATTCTTCTTGTTTGCATCTTTGATACAGTGATGTAAACAAGATAAATGCCAATTTTCATCTCTAGTTAAAATTGTGGTGAAGTGATGTTATTTATTAAGCAAAGATTACTTTTGGCACAAGGCCACCCACCTGTTCTAAAACGACATGTTCAGGTGAACAAGACTGATCTGTTGGTTGAAGAGGTGGAGCTTATTGAAACAAATCCACACTACACCTAAATTTGCTACAAAAACGGCAAAGAAACAATAGTAGTGAATAAACATCTATGCTCGGTTGATACCACTGTTGATAGGGAATCCCAAGAGATACCTAATGAGAATAACTACTCCGTTTTGCCCAAAGATACTATTGAAGCTACCCCTACCAAACTGAATACTACCACCCCCACCCCCACTACCTTCTGACATTGCTGAGGAAGCAATAGTGCCCAGGAGATCAGAGCAGATACAAACTGTTTGAACATGTAACAATAGCAGTAGTTGATATTTCCTTTTGTTGAATATTGTAGTCCATTCATTCCTGCCACTGCAGTCTGGAGTGGACTATTCCTATGCTGAGTTTTATTTATATATAGCAGTTTTTATTTTCTTATTTTGCTGAGTATATAACTGATTTTGTTAGAATGAAGCCTTTAGTTAAGACCCTTCTTTATGTTCACTATAAGTATTAATGGTATAACTTTCAATATTCTCTCTCTCCAGGAACAATTCTCACCTACACAGAAAATTCAAATCAGAAGCATACATTAATCTAGGAGTATCAAATACACTTGGCTTTGTAGGCTGAATAAGGACAATTATTCCTAAAAAAAACTTATTCAAAGTGTGTAGACTAAGTGAATGGACAATGAGGTCAATAGATATTATTTTATTAACAATAAAGGAAAGAATATAAGGTATTGGCAAATTGTGTGTCCTTAGAATAAAAATAGAGAAATGTAAACCTTTTGCTGCAGAGCTGTGCTTGTGAGGCTTAAATCGTTTAGCTTACATGCTAATACCCTTGTGAAAGGTATGAATCTTTTCTCTCGCAGCTATGTGTAAAATGGCAGAGCAGACTGGGTTCTGTATCCTTGGGTGGCAACCAGTCCAGGAGAAGGAAACTCTGAATTCAAACCACCTGCTGCCTTGTAGGTCCTACCTCTTTAGACAAAGGTTTAAAGAAGATAACTTCAAAAACAAATCTACTACCAAACAGAGATGGGGTAACCTCAACATCGCCAGTGCAAAATGAACTGGCAAGCCATTGCACTATTCTGCCCTGAATGTCACCATGTGAGATGGAGGACAGTGGTGACCACAGCAGTGCAAAAATGCACTAAATGAATGATGAATATATATATATATATATATATATACATACATAGGTGCATACACATATGTATAATTTTGAATAAAAAATTCCAAGAGGATAGAATCCAGGTAGAGCTCAATGTCCAGAACAACATCTATTCATTAATGTTATTTACTTTTATTACTGTGTGAATGTTTTTATAAAAATAATTTGACAGCTCACCAAATATAATGATGATTATCACCGACTCCTACAAAAATTGCCCCAATCATTTACAAAGTATCAATTTTAAAAATGTTCTAGAATTGTGTGCCATACAAACTAGATACATTTTATGATATTTCAGTTACTAAATTGAGTCTGAATTTTGATAATTATTTCTTAAAGCCATTGTGATCCGTCAGTAGATTTTTTGAAACAATGGATAAAATGACACTTGTAGGCTTTCGAAATCAGAAGGTCCATTTCTCCTTGATTATATATAATTGTATTAGGATGAAAAAACTGATTATTTATTTTGAACTTAAGTACATAAAGAGGAAGTAAAATTATTTCTTACCAGTTGGCGGGCTTTCTCTTCTAACAATTCATATGTCCACTGATGGAGCTACAAATAGAAATGAAAAGAATATAAATAAAGAGGGAAACTCATTGAAAATAATCACTTTGCTAACTACAAAAGTTTACTTTGATTTCAAGCTTTATAAGTTTTGTATGAAAAGAAAAAATATTTTCTTCATTCTGGACTTTCATTGTTTTTTTTTTTTCATTTGAACACTTTTACTCCTCATAATACTGCTTGAAAATATGAGACAATCTCAATTTAAAATGTAACTTCAGAATTTTTCCTTTTCAGACTTCAAAAATGTTAACTGATTGTAATGTTTCATACATTTTCATACAATTAGAGAAATTTTTTATAAAGTCTCAGATATATAATCTGAAGTGGAAATGATAGGTTTTGAACTCACTAACAATCTACTCACCTTACATAAGGAAGATATTTTTTACCAGTTGACCATCAAAACTCAATTTAACAGCTTATCTCCTTGATCAAATTTTTTTGTACTTTACAGATTTTAAGATCTTAAGCTGTTCAATTATTTTCTCATATCTTAAAAGGTCACATTTAATGAATAATTATTTCAGAAACAATAACAAAAACACCAAGAAGAAAGAAAAAAATAATATATATATATATATATATATATATATAAAATAGTTGCATTATAGATAGATACATAGGTAATTTAAGAAAATTATAGATATTGCAGTTACTAATAAAAAAAGATATAAATTTTGAAAGTTTGAAACAATTACTTAATAGACACAATTCAAATTTGATGCAGAATACAAATTAAGCAGGGAATAAATTCCTAGAGAATAATTACCCAAAATTGTTTTGGTAATGCCACTCCTTGTACTCTTTGCAATGGACCATATTCAAAGCTATCCACATGGTGTACCTTGAAAAAATTGAATTTGGAAAATATACATGTGTATAAACTACTTTAGAGTCACATTATTTTTGTAGTGATAGTTTGAAGTGACAGCATGCATCTTCATGCCTTCAGTTTGATTGAATGTTGTTCTATTCAACTTAAAAATAAGTTAATATACTATTAAAGCAATTTATCAGTTTTAAATGAAAATTGGAACGAGTTCTGAAATGTTGGACAAAAAGCAAAAATATATGTTTGTACAGAGAAAATATTAATGGCATTTTTAATGTTAATGCAGAGCAAGATATGAAATGTACTCACCGCAGTGACACTGAATCTTCCTAAAAGTGCTGTTGATGACATCATAGGCCCCCTACTGATATCAATATGGTCACCCATCCGGTAAACTCTTATAGTTGAGCCATTGAAAGATGTAGCTGCAATTTCTGGAATTTGTTGCATTTTGAATCTGGGAATGCAATATGAAAAACCAAAATAATTCCTAATCAATTTATTGTAATAATGGCTTTGCAAAAAGATTAACAAGAGGAATAATGATTTTTTCAGATTATATTTACTTTTCATTAGAGAAAAGAAAATGATTCTAGCATACATTTAGAAAAATGCTAACAGGTGAATAAACTAGAATCAGTTAAACAACTTTTATGGAAAAAGCTATTTGCATTTTTGTTATTGATTCTCTCTCAAACAACATTAAAACTGCATTGAACATGAAAAAAAAAGATAAAATAAATAAAATAAAATAAAAATGTGCCCTTTATTAGTATTTTCATATTCAATGAGAAATAAAGATGAATTGCTTAAGAATCAACAAATACATAAATAAATTTTGGAGATGTCATTATTTTCATTAAACAACAGCTATTATTCTAACATTAAATAAATATTGTATTCATTCATTAAAAGATATGTGTAAAAATGTTGGCTTTCAAACACAATAAGAAGGTTTAACATTTTTGTCACAGTAATAAGAGAGATTACCTGTTATCGGAAAACATTTTCAGTGCCACATCTGTACTAATGTCAAGAGGTTCAAAACGAAGATCTGCGTATTGCAATTTGGAGCCAATACGACTAAGGCAATTAAGCTCAGTCTGGAGATAAAAAGACAATTTGGGAAATTTATTTTCATTGTGCATGTAGTTATTTGTTTACTGTGACTTAAAAAAAAAATCAGAATACTATGAAAATAATTTTAAAAATATTTTCACTCAGGATAATGATTGATAATTGATTCATTTTTATGATTGCCCTACTTTCAATATCAATTCATGAAAGATAAAATTGATCAAAAGTTTAAATTTGTATTTAAAATTCATTGCCATAAAATAACATTTAAAAATAGATTTTTTTAACTAATAAGTAGACAAAAAAAATCTTGATAAAGAACAGCAGGCATGAAAAGGAGAATTTGATGATCAAGAACTTTATTCATACTTGAGTAGGTCTCCATTTTGGCAACTTTAAATCAGCATCATATACAAAACTGCCGCTTTTCACTGAAAAATAAATTTGAAAAAATAATTCACAATTTATTTATTCTACAAAAGCAAGATAAAAAAAGCTAAGTTTTCTAATACATTAAAAATTATCTAATAGAAAATTTCTGAAAATATTAACAATTTGAGTTACATTCATTAGTACTGCTTAACAGTACTAATGAATGTAACTCAAGTAAAAAGAAAAAAAAAATATTTTTAGTTACGTTTTGTTTTACATATTTACAGAAATTTGTATTTTTTATAACAGATCAACAGAAAAAGTTTGCATTTGCTTGTTTGATTCTCTTTCTTACCCCTTCACATATATACAACTATGTGTGTGTGTGAGAGAGCATGCAAAGTGAATAAAAAGAAAAATTAGAAGAGTAATTTTAAAATTTTATATTTTGAAAGTATAAAAACATTCCCAAAAATATTGAAATAATAATAAAAAAAAAAAAAAAAGAAAATGATGAGTATTGAATCAATACATTTAAAAAAATGAATACAAATGCAATTTTTTAAATATGGTAACTTATGACAAATTTTCACTTAAAAACTGGGAGAAATCTCACTACAAGTTAACATATAATAAAAATTTTGTAAGCAAATCTTAGGAAAGTCTTATAGAAAGTAAATATTACTACACAGACTGATACCAAATTTTTTTCAATCTTTTTTCAAAAGCTAACCACCACTAGATTTTGAAACATATATAAAATACATAAAAGGTTAATGGTCAGAGTTGAATCAGACTAGGAAACAGTAGTATTAAAAAGTGCTCAAAACAAATGTGAAAAAAAAATAAAATAAAAAATAACATGTAGGACTTCTAACTTTAAAAGTTAGGAGATCAGTTGAATCCGCTACCTTGGTTTCAACCTCATGTGGTTTTTATCAATAAAAAAATAGGCTACCACACCAGCTTGTCAAAATTGGTTGCTTACCATTTGGAAGTGGAAAACTACAGAGTTCCACAGGATGTTCATCTTTAAAGGCAGTTTCCAAAATATGACCAAGAATAAAAGAACAAGACCTCCAGAAAACCTAGAAAATTATTTTTAAATAAAATAAATTTTATACATAGAAAAAATAAACAACTGGCTAACTGGCTGTCTGCTAATCAATTGGGTTTTTTCAAAATTTCTAAAATTCAATAAATATTGACATTTTTAAGTACAATTAAAGTCTTTCTTTTTTTTAAAAAAGAAAAAAAGATTTTAGTCATTCTAATATATGATATTGAGATATTTATTTTCCCTTCCATCAACTGTTAAGGAATGATTGTTAATGAATGTTCAGTTCTTTGAAGTCATTTTCAGCCAAAAGCATATGCAGATGCTCAAAATATTGTAATGACCATCAAATTTCAAAACAATTTTTATCTGGTCTTATATAGATGAAACCAGCATCAGTACATTTTACTTTTTATAGTTCTACATTGGTTTTTAAATATTTTGTAACAAAGCTAGCAAAATTAAACACATAATGGTAAAAAGATATTTCCTATGATATGACATGAATTTTTCAGATAAATTATTAAAAGTTCAAAACCTTTGCCTTTTGCAAGATAAAAAAAGGCATTATTCTCTATGATCAGATTTCATAGACAATAAATGGCAACAACATAAATTTTGTAATTATTATTTAAGATATTTTTCTTGAAAAGAACAATAGTAGTGAAACATTTTCACTTTTTACAAAACCGACAAAGAAAATATAAACTCCACAGTAAGCAATATTAACAAGAACTTTGAAAAGGGAACTGTGGTGATATGCAAATTAGATTGTATAAGTGGGAACCTTTCTACTCAATATTTAAAAAAAAAAAAAAAAAAAAATGTTAAAATAATCTTACAAAAGAAGATCTGCTCTTAACATGTCAAAGAAATTTATTGAGTCAGGTCATTAATTCATGATGCAATTAAGCAAATCAAAGAAGCTCTTTAGAAAGTGATATTTTGTATTAGTGTCAGGCCAGATACCTTCCCTTTGAAGAGGTGGTAGAGGTCAAGATGACCCACAATATTCATGACTGAGGCAAGCCACAGAGAGGGAGGAATTTAGCTGTAGTCATTTCTTGAGAGAGATGGGTTATATTTGCCAAAGACATGCTATATAAAGATGAACAAAACACCAATGATCAACATCATCAAGTGGACAGAAGCTTTGCTGAAACTTAGGCCCTTAAAAATGGAAATAGCTTGTGATATTTTCAGCACAACCATGTCAGGTACAGGACCACTGACAATGTCATTTTGAATAGACAATTTTATCCTCATCTTGCTTCTTTACATTTAATTCTGCCAAATTTGTCAGTGAAAATTGTTTGTCTATCTCACCTCGTTTGCTTCATTGCAGTCATCTTCTTTAAAATGCATAAAACGTAATTCACAATCCTCAGTCAGTGGACAATGTATGTCCCAGAGTTTTCCATTGACCAATGCTATCACAGATTGGGTCATCAACAATTCTTGGATGTCTGTAAATGAAAAAGAGGAAGGAGAATTTAAAAAAAAAAAAAATATAATCATGGTCTTTTAAGTAGTTATGATCTGAAAAACATTAATTCACAAAATGTTCTCACATAATTAAGATTTTGAATAGTTTGGATAATTATTTTCATTTATTTAATAAGAAAAATACAATTTTAAGATTTTACATATTTTCAAATAAAATTTTTTTGCAAAAAAAAAAAAAAATTTTTCAGTATAATAAATTGTAGAAATTTTATAGCTGTCCAGTTCAAATCTTGGTGATGATTATTTATAGACAATGATTATATTAATCTTGGCTACAATTTATTGTTTTTTTAAAGAAAATGTGTGGATACAAATTCATTCATTTAAAGCCACATTATTAACATCAATGTTACTTTTGAAACCCTATTTCTGGTAAGACAATATTTATGCCAATAAGTGTAGGTGTTTATATACACTTAATTTAACATTTACAGATGGGATCATAACTTAGAAATTCCATCACCATAACAAACAAACAAGAAAGAGAGATAAGAGAAAGAGAGAGAAAAAAGAAAGAGAGATGAAAGAAAAAAGAAAGAGAGAAGAAAAAAGAGAAGGAAAAAGAAACACTAACGCATGGCACAGTTGAATGGTGTAGACAAACCCTTATTCATAATCAAGGTGCATGTCTCTGGAGGCCCCACATGTTCCACATGTATCTTTTCAATTCTTTTTATAAGTGAAAACTGTCTTTTTTTCTCTTCATCAAAAATTGCATTCCTCTTCTTTCTGATTTCAACATTATTCACTAATGGAGAAGTACCAGTGCTGAGATAGACTGCAAATAATAAAAAAAAACAGTTTCATCAAAAGTGATACATTTTGCTGTCACAATTTCAAATAAAATGAAGTGAATTTCAATTTTTTTCTAGCATTATACATAATTCTAGTTACTAAATTTATTTTTTGTTATGCATGTAAATCAAAAGAAAATTAAATATGCACTAATAGAGCTGATATTTCATATTGTGTTATGCTAAAACTTAATAGCAATAATAATTATTCTGAAACTATAGAAAACATTTTAGCCAAAAGAAAAAAAAAAATGATGAGAGTTTAAATGATTTGTGGAGTAATGTAAATGGTTCATCTCAGAATTCAGAAATTTTTTATACAGAAGACAATGAGAATAAAAATCACCAATAAATTTAAATATTTATCAAACAGGCTCCTCTGTGCAGAGACTTTATAAATTTGAGTACAAAGGTCCTTTTGAAAGATTCCAGAAAATTACTTTATGTAACTGGTACAACACTCAGTATTTACCTCTTCTGAAATTTTCATATGCATGCTACAAATAAAAGGTACTTTTAAAAAGTCATGACTTCCAAGAGAACTGTGTTAACATATGTGTTCATGTCAATACAATGAGATCAAGGATCATTCTGTTAAAGAAGGGTATTCTTAGAATGTCCTGACATGGAAAGTTTTTACAGTAATAAAAGTTTTTTCACAATGTTAATATACTTTTTTTCTTATTTTTCTTATTGTGGAACAATAACAAGATTTACAAATATTTCACTAGAGTTTCATTTATAATAAATTTTAATTTCTTTTCACTTTATTTTTAACCTATCTCAACATTTACTTCTGAAATATGCCTGTGATTGTCTGTGTGTGTTAGTTAAGTAAGGAATAAGGATTAAGTTTTTGAAATGATGTGGCAATAACAATGAGTTTAACAAACAATTCTATTTGCAATAGTTTTCTTGTATTCTATTTTCTTTCTGTCTGAATTCCTGGAATGATGACTAATGTCCTTATTTTTGTTGTTATTAGCAGCCATTGTGCCCTCTGAAATTCTTCGGGTGTTTGCCAATCTGGGTAACCATAAGGAAATTTTAAACTGAACCCTTTATTTAATCTACAGGTGTAGATTGCTGGCCATGTCTATGGATATCTCATCTAGCACTGCCCAGTATTTTTTTATATTAATGTTCACTCAGTACAAGACCAAAGAGCCACTCAAGGTAGAGGGTTACTATGTGATGTTGTATGAGCATAAGAAAGGACAAAAAGAGAAGATTATGGGGCTATGCAGGAAAGATAATGGGTAACCCTAGAGTTGAAGATTTTAGTGATTGGGAAAACATTCTACGGGAAGTCTGTTCCACAAAGCAGCAGTTCTTGGGAAGAAGCTCTCAAGATGAAATTTACTTCTTACTATAGGAATACAAAGGGAATGGGGATGATTCACCTTTTTTGTATATGTGATATGGCAGGTCCCAGTTGTAAAGGTCAGGAATGGTGGTACTAAGGGATGTAGCTTGTCAAAAATGCCATGAAAGTCACAATAGAGCAGTGAGAGGCTCACATTTCATCTGTGGGGGAAAGAGGTTGTAGTGTGTAAAATAATTCATCACCCACAAGGTAGTGTAGATGCTTTTGAAATAAGAACTGGGCAGCTCTAGCCCAGATATGGCAGCAATACTCTATTTTTGGTCTGATCTGACTCTTGTAATAGCAGGGAGAGTCAGATACTTATTAGAATGATTCAATGAACTGACCATTTTTTTCCAGCATCTTCAGCAATAGAGCAGATATAGGAGTTCCACATGAGGTCTGGAGAAAGCTCGAGTCCCAATAGATATTCATGACAAGGAGCCTACTTGAGAGAATACCCATCCATCATGATAGGTGAATGTTTGGTGTCTGCTTGGTGGTGGTAGAATGTTACTAGTTTGTTTTGGCTATATTGAATTTTACAAGCCAGTCATTGCCCTTTTGAGCCATCTGGGCACGATCAGAGTAGAGATGAACTGTTAGGTTCTGGTCTTCCAAATTTTGTGAAGTGCATCTGCAAACTGTTGTATCATCTATGTAGATACTCAGTATGCAGAGTATGCTCTTAGATTATTTAATATACAATAAAAAGAGAGCATGAACAAGGAGAGAACTCTGTGGAATGCCAGCATTGATCTCATGGGTTTCTAATGGCCTTGGATATATACAGGGCAATGGTCCTCATGATGAATTTATTATCTAGTGTCTCACTGATTCAACGACCCTTTTGTTGATTATAGATTCAAAGAGTTTACTGATGAGTTGATATCACAACAGGCATAAACGATCACTCACATTCTTAAAAATAGGGTATACAGTCAACACCTACCATGAATTTGGGAAACATTTCTCCTTCAGGCAGCAGTTGAACAGTTTTGCCATAACTAGAGATAACTCTGGGCTGATATTAAGAATTACTGGGATTTTATCCATCTTAGTCAAGGCTTTTGATAAGTCTAGAACCTTCTCACACCATGATAGAGATATTAGACAGTTTGTGCTCCATGAGAACAGGGAAGTCAGGTAAAGGGTAGTCCTTACCATAATGTATAATTATAAGCAAAGTTCACTGCAAAGAGCCTTGCCATATCCTATAAGTAAAAACATCCTTCACTCAGGGCCATTTATGATGGTTGACACAGATGATTTGCCTCTGTTGAGAATTTTATTTGAAATTTTCCAGAACTTTAAATCTTTTATTTTCAACCTTGCTCACCCGGTTTTCTACAGTCTGTACTACTCGGCCCAAATTACTATGTCGCCAAATTCATGAACCAATACTTTGTTTCAATCCACTTATCTAGGCTATTATGAAAATTTACGTTTTTGTTTGTGCTTTACAAAATGATTCCGTGAGTTCAAAAACGTATGTGCAAACTTGCAAATTAATAACTTTTGAAGTTATGAAGTGTAATAACGACTCAAGTACTTTGTATTGATGATTTCGATCTAAAAAAAAAAAAAAAAAATCTATTATTAGCATTCCATAAACGGTTGTGGATTTTTTTTTTAATTCTCATTTTGTAAATATGGATAAAAAAGTAAAACAAAAAAAAATGTATTTCTTTTCTTCAGTGCCAATATTTTTAACTTGTTTTGTTAAAGTTAAACATTAAGTTTTGTTGACTTGACCTTTTGACTCATCTGAAAGAAAAAGGATGGATGGTGATAATTTTTAGTACTAAGCTCAAAATTCAATAATTTAAATAAGATGAATCTTAAACGAGAATCCAACCAAGTGAGATTCTTCTATGAATTCATCCAGATAGAGAAAAAGCTTGTAAAGAACATTCTTTTTTTTAATGTTTTAAGTTTTTTTTTTTTTTTTTTTATATAAAAAGAGAAAATAGAGAGGCTCCGCTAAACTAAGTAAACAAAATCAAGGAAACGATTACTTATTACAAATTTTTCAATTATTTTTAAAATGAGTTAGATAAACGTAGAAAGTCTGTAAATAAAAACAAAACAAAAAAGTAACAATAAATAAATGCGAATTGTTTAAAAAAAAAAAAAAAGTAGAAGGCCATGTAACAGAACAGAAAATATTAGCCAAATTTAAAAATAAGAAATGCTACTAAAGTTTCCTAAAACTTGAAAGTATATATATATAAAAGCACAATTATAATGACTTACGTAAAGACAAACAACGAATCCTCTGATGAAGTCGAAGATGCTTATTTAGGATATTGAAGGTAGCCATTATCCTGAGAAGTGAAGAACGGTGTTAAATGAACAAATGTCCATTTTGAAAAGCGGTTCAAGTTAAATCAGTCAATGTTTGCCGTCTATATTTTTAAATTGAGATTGAACAAATTAAAAAAAGTAAAATCAGTTTTTAAGTATTTAGCCAAAACTTTGTAAAAAGTTCTTAAGAGTGAAACTATTTTTAGCAAAAAAGGTGATACCAATAACAAAGTAAACTTTTTAAAAAAAATCAAATTAAGTAAAAAAAAATTCTTTTTGGTGATTCCGTACTGCTCATATATGATGTAACAAAAACATTATTTACTTACACTTTGACTTATTGGATTGCTTATTAATTAAATATTATTTATTAATTAAATATTGATTATCTACATGCGTGTTTTGAAAAATATTTTCAATTACTTTTTAGTTTATTTGAAAATCTAATGATAAAGAAAAATAAAATTTTAAAAACTGAGTTATCGTTGTTTTATAATTTTTTTTTTTATAAGATTCGCCTACCACAGATTATCAATTGATTGTTCAACGAATAAGGCTACTTAATTACATGTTTTATTCTTACATTTATAACAGCAGTTTGCCAGCATCTTTCGAGAAACCTTTTTTTTTTTTTTTACTAAAGAGTCCAATCAGCATCCTCTTCTTAGTCTTCTTAAACAACTCTTCTTCTTGCTGATTGACTTGTTAAAATCTTTTAAGATGAGGAAAAAATGAATACCAGAAAAAAACATTCAGGTTAGTTTTAGAGAGCAGTTGAAAACTCGTACACACATAGATCGCGATGACGACTGTAGCTTTTTGGTAGTTAGTTAGAAATGAATAACAGTTCCAGTCGCAAGTTTTGTTTCTTTTATGGGGAATTTATATATTGAATTTGACAACATAATGTAGACATGGATTTTAGCCTCATCTAATACAGGACTAAAACAGTGACATGCCCAGTAGTAGATATTTACGAAGCTTTGGTTAGTCTGACACAAGGCAAACACTCAGTGAGAATCAAACTTACTAGCTACTGTAGCACTAGCAGTGATCTGCAAAAAAGTAACTTGCTAACGTAACGAACCATCAATTTTTAGAAGGTACAATGCAAAAAAGTCATTTAGTAAAACTTGAGTATATGTTATGGCACATTTGGAACCGGCTGTATATAATTGATTTGAAATAAAGTTAATGTTCAAGCACCCAGGTTGTAGCGAATGTATTACCCACTGTAACATTTAATATAAAATTATAACAGGTCATTTCATTTCTAAATTTCTTGCAAGGTCATATGTTATCTCCCTTAGACTCCATTTGATTCTAATCTAAATAAATTCTTAGGGAAGTGTAAAAAATATCGAAAGAATTCTTAATTTTACTCCTTGCATATATATTACTTCTTTGGATTTTGGTATATCACATTTTTAAGTTTTCCAAGTAATTTGGTTAAGTAAGAATTTCTTATTACCTGCCATAAAGCTGTTGAATGTTTTTTAAACTTATTGGATAATAATAAGCTTATAAAATCGTTTAAATCAAGTTGGCCAGTGTTGTTGTGCCGATCTATATCGCACATACATATATACACAAATACAAATCACATACAACGACAAGCATTCATTGGTTAATAAATCACTACTACGTTATTATAGACAATTTACAAATCGCAGCAATGCGACAATTTTGTAATCCCTCTATTTTCATGTAGTCAATTTTGTGCATTTTGGGGAGAAATGGATCACTGAAGTTTTCTTAAGTCTCCTCAAAACTCGCTCGCTGATTGGTCAATGCCAACCAATCAGATCGACTGCACGTGAAAAGTAACTTTTCCCGCGCAGCGATCTGGAGCCTATAGTCACTTATATAAGCAATAATTTTTCTTAGCTAATTAGTGAGAATTCAGCTGCCAAACGAATCCACGACAGTTGAAACCATGCGCCAACCTTCTCACTCACACGCACCATTCACATGCTGAACATTCCTTATACACTCACATAATCTTTTCTTGCACAGCAAAATCTTCTGAGAACAGTCATTATAAGAAACTCTCATAAACATTCTTCCAGTGAATTCTGGAATACTAAAAACACAGATAAAGAGAGACAACTCGTGTTTTATTTAACCTTTTCTTACTTAAATGCATGCTTTCTTTCACATCGTTGTTTGATATTGTACATCTTGTTAAATACATATTTTATGTGTAACAATGTTTTTTGCTTATCCTTTTCTACGTGTGGTGAAGTCATATATATATATATATATATATATATATATATATATGACAACACTGCCCAACTTGATTTAAACGATTTTTTTAATTTATGGTCATGAAAGAACACACTGCCAGCTTTTTGTCTCGCATATTGTTATAACGAACGCGCTTCCTAGCGTTTTAAGTAATACTTTGGCAACTTACCATGACACCTGTATTATTACTTAGTCTGTCTGAACACTGACTCCAAACAGCTTCAATATTTATTTTGTATAAAAATGCAAAAAGGTGACACGAGACCAAAAGGGGAATGGGGAAAGGCTGGTCTTCTGTCTTATAATGAAACTTAGCTCGCCACAATAAACTGACCCAAACATACCAAAATATTCCTTACACCAAGACACATTCTTACATACCATTCTTACTACATCCATCATAATACCTTAGAATCTCTATGAAGTCCTAATTAGTCTCCATATGTAAATTTTTTGTATGTGGGTTGGAAATAAAGCAAGAATTTAAAAACCTAAACCCTAATTAAAAATAATTTATGTTAGAAATAAAATCCCCACAATCCTTAATTGTGGCAGAAACATCAGTTTTGGACGAAATTAATGCAGAGCTTAAATAATCAATGCACTCATTCGTCTTACCACTCACTCAAGCATAGACTCGTTCAAACACAACAACAAATACGAAAATTACAATCGAAATACGAAAGGCGTTCCGCATCCATCAGAGAAATGACATCTCTGGTCATCTATATATGCACACACACACACACACACACACACATATATATATATATACACACACACACACCCATACATATATATATATATATATGTGTGTGTGTGTAAATGGATATATATATATATATATATATATATACACACACACACATATATATATAAATATACATACACACACATATATACATATATATATATACACACATATATATACATATATACATGCACACACACACACATATATATATATACATATATGCACACACACACATATATGTATATATACATACACGCACATATACATACACACACACACATATATATTATGTCCTGGGTATGACGATAAAAGTACATCTGGCAGTAAGTCTTCTGACTGGGGGATTGGAGAATTTGAGGAGCGTGGAACCACCTTTTAATTGCTGTTGTTCCCAGGTCACCCCTGACCCGGGGTGCTAGCACCTGTTATGGGAAAATAGTGCCTACAAGGGCTGACCAGACTCTTTAGTGTTATATAACACGACTGGTCTAGGAGATGGAAAACTCTTACACGAAAAGCCTTGTTTGCTTCGTCTGTGGCATTTATTTGCACCGAATGAGTGTATCAATAGTTCCGAAAAGTGTGGTTGGTTCTGCACTTTAATCAAATCACTTGTGTGAGTTTTCTGGCGGTTTACCCTGATTCAATCGTTCTTATTCACGCAGTTCACTTGGAAGATCCGCTGGCGAGAGAGTGTAGGTGTCGGGATCAGGTAAATGATATTACTGAAGGCTGTAGCTGGAACTCTACACAGTGGCAGACTGATGGATGATGGCCGTTCTTTCACAAACCCATGAGCAATTGTGTTGTCAATGTCCTCTATCGGGTGACAAAGCAGGCCCTATTTGGTATCTGCCCTGCTTTCCCTATTTTCATTTTGCATCCTGGAATGTTCGCACTCTCCAGGACAGTGATTCTGCACCAGAGTGTAAGACAGCTCTCGTGTCTCTCGAGTTGAAAAGTATAACATCGATATAGCGGCCATTAATGAAACACATCTTGCTGGCAATTCACAACTTAGGGAAGAAAAAGGTGGATACTTGTTTTTATGGGCTGGCAAGACTGAGAAAGAGCCACGACAATCTGGTGTTGGCTTCACCATCAACTCAGACTTTGCTAGCTCACTGCCTTCCTTACCTAAAGGTGTATCAGATCGTATAATGAAACTAACCCTCGATCTGAAGTTTAACACCTGTGTGACGCTAGTTAGCTGCTACGCTCCAACCTTAAGAGCAAGAAAAAATGATTTTTACAATCTCGTTCGGGATGTCATCTCGAAAGTCCAACATAAGGATAAGTTAATCCTTACAAGTGACTTCAATGCTCGTGTTGGCAATGAAGGACGTTTTAGGTCGCCATGTTATTTATTAGCTATGTGAATTCGAATGGATTACGCCTGCAAGGAATTTGACCTTAGTATTACTAATACCTTCTACCAGCAATACAGCTGTCGTAAGACCACGTGAATGCATCCTCATTCGAAAGACTGACATCTGATCGACAATGTCATTACCAAAAGAAGGGACATAGAAGATTTTAAGATCACGAGTTCATTCCACACAATTTGCTGTCAGATCACGCTCTACTTCAGAGTTAGTCTACACTGCATCTGCAAAAGTGAAGGATTTTAAATTTTACAGTGCCCAAGCGCATTAACGTACTGCCTCTAAAATCATCTGAAACTGAGGTCTCTGACAAACTTGATGCTGCACTTGATTCTGTAAACATTACCAATGATATCGAATCGTCTTGGAAGGCTCTGCGAGATACAACACATTCTACATCCTTGGAGGTTCTCGGCCTACCACATCGTAAAAATCAAGACTTGTTTGATGACAATAATGCAGAGGTCATAGATCAAATGCACTCTTCTCATAAAGCATGGACTGAGGACAAGAACACGTCCACTAAGAAGATCGCTTACAGGAAGTGCAAAAGTCAGGTGCAACGAGCTCTCAGAGCGTTTTCGGTCCCCAGAAAAGTAATGTTGCTCCAATCTCCACGGCAGATGG